GTGGGAATGCATCAAAAAAATTGCCAAGGAAGTTATTATTCACATGAACATTAACTTCTCTTACCTCCCCTTGCCTTTTACCATGGCAAATGAGTGAAAGTGCTCTAATAGGACAACATTGACACTTCACACCTGCTAGAGGGAACCCTTTATTGTCAACCGGAGTGAGTAAAAGGGCAATTTCGTTATTTAAATATAGAGTAAATTGAATAATAATAATAATAATAATGTAAAAGTTAGGGCAGAATAATTAAACAATACATTTACGAACTTTCTAATAATCCTATACTAACTTTATAAACGAATACATTTGAAGTTATTTTTGTGGAGCCACTCTGTATTGTGATTTAATATCAGATTTAATAATCCAAATTGTCTATATTCACACATCCTTCTTTCATTTCTTTCATCGCATATTAATTTAGGGAACTTTAGCGAGGTGATCTCTCATGTGAGTAGGAATACATCAATTGTAAAAGACCTTCTCTCATTACCTTAATATTACATCTCATGTTAATTTTTCAAGGAAAAGCTTCAGGTTTTAAACTACCAACTCAAGTCACTGTTCGTAGTGTTCGAGGTTTTATATGTCTAAATGGTCTACATCCAAAATATATTAGTCTTTGTACACTGTGCTCCCAAGCACCAAAAGAGTGAAAATAAATAAATAAATCGCTATGTATGGATTTGAACCATCTACATTGTGCAATTTAATACTTTAAGTTACATCAAATCCAGATCACAAGGACATGTTTCAGATTTGAATTTTAACAAGTCACATTCCATCCTTTCGGTTGGGTCCCAACCCAACAGTTGGAACAAGTGCAACAGTCAGAAGGATATGCTTCCATTTGTGTTTAGAGACGACCCATCGTATCTTGATCAAGAAAACAACAATAAATTATGGAGGAGTGTTAGCTTCAGTTACGCGTGGGCGTGTGTCGCATTAGAGATGAGTCAATAATTGTGTGGGGAACACAGAAATCAAAGGCTCGGAATGCATTACGCGTCTACTCGCAACTGATGCTAACACTTTCCCTAGATTCTGAATGTCAAGACCGCATTATCTGCATTAACAAGAAGCTGCAAGTTTTGGAGAAAGATCAACATTCTAATTTGCCATTCAACCAACACAAATACACAAACTTATATTACTCTGTTGCATGTGCATCAGTCAAGGGGCATGCCGAGGTATTGAACCAATACAAACAACAAAATGATATGAATACATCTAGAGTGTCTAAACTACAACATTGTTCAGGCAAGAATTGGCTCCTTATGCAGAAGTGGCAGCTACTTCAGTTTTCCTTTTTTCTTCTTTCAGTTTCTTCCAGTTCTCTGCATTATCTACTATTTCACCAGTTTTGATGAGGTAGCGAACTCGTTGTCCATTTTCCAGAATCTTATGACCCACTCGACTTGCTACATCCTTTTCTTTTGAGTAAAGCATCACATTCGAGCTGTGGATAGCTCCTTCTACCTGGAATATGAAATTTAAAATGTTTCTTTGTAATTAAATGAAACTAGTAAACGAGAAAACATAAGAACCAATATGTTGATGAGTACACATTTTAAGAAAGAAAAAGAACCTTAATAATCTGTCCTGGTTCACCCTCTTCCCTGCTCTTCATATGCTTCGTCTTCAAGTTAATGTCTTTAACTATCACAGTGCTATTGTGCTTATAGATCTTTGTTATCTCTCCAGTTTTACCCTTTTCATGCCCAGATATGACTTTCACCGTATCTCCAACCTTAACATGCATTTTGTGTAAAACAGGAAGGCTGTTTGGCTTGCATTCCTTCCGCTCCCATCGCTTGAGCTGTGCGAGGACAAAAAAGCAACATTTCAGGAAAATGGATGAGCAGCCCAATAAGCTACATGAGAACCCATATTACAAAATAGATTTTTCAAAAGAAAAGGATGTTAAATTATGTGAACCATGCCAAGTGAATTGAAACAAAGTTTTATCTTGGTTTAGCCAGAACAAAATCAAGATAAAGACCTCTCCACCACATTCATGGATAAGTTGCAACAAAATGCCCACTGTATGGCTCTTCTAAAACCAGATGGCTTGGGAGAGTGGAATATCCCATTTAGTGGTAAATTTTGGAGAAAATTATAAGTGAAATTGCATAATAGAAGATTGCTTCCAAAAAAATTACAAGGAGAGCACTACTTTTTTTTTTCCAAGAGAGAGGAGAGCACCACTTTTAGAAACTAGTAAGTCAGCAATTTCATTACCATCTTTCTCACTCACTTTTTTATCCTAAATTCATAAATCTTTTATTTTTGTTTAAACAGTTATCATATTCTGGTTCTGTACAACAAATAAGTTATTGACAAAGATAAAGAAAAACAAATATTGGTAGAGATAGGACTGGTGATACTAACCTTCACTACAATGAGGCAAGGCTTCGCTGTTAAATTAGCCTGCACATAACACAAGTAGACAAATTGTTATGAAATGGTTTTTTTTATCCTCCCAGTGATCCGTGATTCAAACTCATGCTACAGCGTGAGTAGAATAAAAAAAATTCTCATCACTTTGATATTTAACAATTTTGTTTCTCTCAGATGACAGAAAGAACCAAATATAAAACAAAACCAATATAGAAATATGAGCTCATTAAAAAAAAATACAACAAAGCATATACTTTAACAAACTTACTAGTAAACTTAAAACAAATTATCAAAATATAACATGATACATTTTGTTTCAAAACTTTATTAGATCCCATTTTTGAGACATTTACATAAAACCATGAAAAGAAATAAAACCATTCTAGTAGAATGAACTGATCGGTGTCACAGTCAGTATGTGGGTTACAAAAAGCCTGCTCACGACTGTGTAAACAGAATGCAAGATCACAAAATGAAGCCAACTCATCATTAAACCGAAAGCTAAAGGTTTATCCAGCTAAAGCATTATTTCATGCAATTAGTTTCATGTCAGTGAAGTAAAAACTATTCATCCACTATATAGGGCAACTATTTTCACTCACAAACCTGGAAAACAAAAAAAAAACAATCCTTTACTAGATGTCATTAAATGCTACCACAAATACCAGGGGAGAAGCTAATCTACAGGGTGTTAGCACATTTTCATTCTTAGGTAGTGGGAATAGCATACGGTAATTGTAGTCAAAGTTTCATTAAGAAACAAAACACTAAGCACCTACTACTAAATCTTATACACAACAAATTCCAAAATGGTCTACCGGCAATCTTCCTTCACTATTAAAACCTCTTAATCAAACCGGCATCCGGTTTCTATTCAAATTTCCAACAGAAGCTTACAAATCTTCAATACCAACTTGGAACATTTTGAATAAACAATCCACCAATGTCAGAACCATAACCAAAAGAACAGTTTCTTCAAATTTTACAAATAACCCATTAAAACATTATCCATTTCCTTATCATCTCTCCAATTCATAGAAAGCCCAGTTTGACATCTTAATCAAGGAATCCAATTTCACAGAGTAAAGGAAAATCACATCAATTTGCACGAACCACTAGAACAAAGAGCTAGTCAAATTTTAAGCAAGACCCATTTCAGTGTTACAAGCAAAAATAACGGAAATACAGAAATAACAAGTTTGAACTTCCAATCCTGACAATGTATTCACATGAACATTAACTTCTCTTACCTCCCCTTGCCTTTTACCATGGCAAATGAGTGAAAGTGCTCTAATAGGACAACATTGACACTTCACACCTGCTAGAGGGAACCCTTTATTGTCAACCGGAGTGAGTAAAAGGGCAATTTCGTTATTTAAATATAGAGTAAATTGAATAATAATAATAATAATAATGTAAAAGTTAGGGCAGAATAATTAAACAATACATTTACGAACTTTCTAATAATCCTATACTAACTTTATAAACGAATACATTTGAAGTTATTTTTGTGGAGCCACTCTGTATTGTGATTTAATATCAGATTTAATAATCCAAATTGTCTATATTCACACATCCTTCTTTCATTTCTTTCATCGCATATTAATTTAGGGAACTTTAGCGAGGTGATCTCTCATGTGAGTAGGAATACATCAATTGTAAAAGACCTTCTCTCATTACCTTAATATTACATCTCATGTTAATTTTTCAAGGAAAAGCTTCAGGTTTTAAACTACCAACTCAAGTGTATTATTTTTATTTTAGCAGAACTTTTTCACAATGAGTTGAAATTGAAAGCAACAAAATAAAAGAAATTTGATATAAGAATTGAAGGAGAAACCGAAATCGTACCGGGACAGGGTAAAGAGTAGGGGGTAACAGTCGTTGGCCCAGAAAGGAGTTAGAGGAGAGAGAAAGAGAGGTCATGGAGCTCTGAAGTGCAGCCATGGCTGCCATTTTCGTTGCTTGCGTGTACTAGGCTGTGATTGAGAAATGGATAATACAGAGCAGAGCTTAAAAGAGTGTAAACTTGTTGCAATATAGGATTGGAACGAAAACGACGACGTAGCTGTAGTGTTCGAGGTTTTATATGTCTAAATGGTCTACATCCAAAATATATTAGTCTTTGTACACTGTGCTCCCAAGCACCAAAAGAGTGAAAATAAATAAATAAATCGCTATGTATGGATTTGAACCATCTACATTGTGCAATTTAATACTTTAAGTTACATCAAATCCAGATCACAAGGACATGTTTCAGATTTGAATTTTAACAAGTCACATTCCATCCTTTCGGTTGGGTCCCAACCCAACAGTTGGAACAAGTGCAACAGTCAGAAGGATATGCTTCCATTTGTGTTTAGAGACGACCCATCGTATCTTGATCAAGAAAACAACAATAAATTATGGAGGAGTGTTAGCTTCAGTTACGCGTGGGCGTGTGTCGCATTAGAGATGAGTCAATAATTGTGTGGGGAACACAGAAATCAAAGGCTCGGAATGCATTACGCGTCTACTCGCAACTGATGCTAACACTTTCCCTAGATTCTGAATGTCAAGACCGCATTATCTGCATTAACAAGAAGCTGCAAGTTTTGGAGAAAGATCAACATTCTAATTTGCCATTCAACCAACACAAATACACAAACTTATATTACTCTGTTGCATGTGCATCAGTCAAGGGGCATGCCGAGGTATTGAACCAATACAAACAACAAAATGATATGAATACATCTAGAGTGTCTAAACTACAACATTGTTCAGGCAAGAATTGGCTCCTTATGCAGAAGTGGCAGCTACTTCAGTTTTCCTTTTTTCTTCTTTCAGTTTCTTCCAGTTCTCTGCATTATCTACTATTTCACCAGTTTTGATGAGGTAGCGAACTCGTTGTCCATTTTCCAGAATCTTATGACCCACTCGACTTGCTACATCCTTTTCTTTTGAGTAAAGCATCACATTCGAGCTGTGGATAGCTCCTTCTACCTGGAATATGAAATTTAAAATGTTTCTTTGTAATTAAATGAAACTAGTAAACGAGAAAACATAAGAACCAATATGTTGATGAGTACACATTTTAAGAAAGAAAAAGAACCTTAATAATCTGTCCTGGTTCACCCTCTTCCCTGCTCTTCATATGCTTCGTCTTCAAGTTAATGTCTTTAACTATCACAGTGCTATTGTGCTTATAGATCTTTGTTATCTCTCCAGTTTTACCCTTTTCATGCCCAGATATGACTTTCACCGTATCTCCAACCTTAACATGCATTTTGTGTAAAACAGGAAGGCTGTTTGGCTTGCATTCCTTCCGCTCCCATCGCTTGAGCTGTGCGAGGACAAAAAAGCAACATTTCAGGAAAATGGATGAGCAGCCCAATAAGCTACATGAGAACCCATATTACAAAATAGATTTTTCAAAAGAAAAGGATGTTAAATTATGTGAACCATGCCAAGTGAATTGAAACAAAGTTTTATCTTGGTTTAGCCAGAACAAAATCAAGATAAAGACCTCTCCACCACATTCATGGATAAGTTGCAACAAAATGCCCACTGTATGGCTCTTCTAAAACCAGATGGCTTGGGAGAGTGGAATATCCCATTTAGTGGTAAATTTTGGAGAAAATTATAAGTGAAATTGCATAATAGAAGATTGCTTCCAAAAAAATTACAAGGAGAGCACTACTTTTTTTTTTCCAAGAGAGAGGAGAGCACCACTTTTAGAAACTAGTAAGTCAGCAATTTCATTACCATCTTTCTCACTCACTTTTTTATCCTAAATTCATAAATCTTTTATTTTTGTTTAAACAGTTATCATATTCTGGTTCTGTACAACAAATAAGTTATTGACAAAGATAAAGAAAAACAAATATTGGTAGAGATAGGACTGGTGATACTAACCTTCACTACAATGAGGCAAGGCTTCGCTGTTAAATTAGCCTGCACATAACACAAGTAGACAAATTGTTATGAAATGGTTTTTTTTATCCTCCCAGTGATCCGTGATTCAAACTCATGCTACAGCGTGAGTAGAATAAAAAAAATTCTCATCACTTTGATATTTAACAATTTTGTTTCTCTCAGATGACAGAAAGAACCAAATATAAAACAAAACCAATATAGAAATATGAGCTCATTAAAAAAAAATACAACAAAGCATATACTTTAACAAACTTACTAGTAAACTTAAAACAAATTATCAAAATATAACATGATACATTTTGTTTCAAAACTTTATTAGATCCCATTTTTGAGACATTTACATAAAACCATGAAAAGAAATAAAACCATTCTAGTAGAATGAACTGATCGGTGTCACAGTCAGTATGTGGGTTACAAAAAGCCTGCTCACGACTGTGTAAACAGAATGCAAGATCACAAAATGAAGCCAACTCATCATTAAACCGAAAGCTAAAGGTTTATCCAGCTAAAGCATTATTTCATGCAATTAGTTTCATGTCAGTGAAGTAAAAACTATTCATCCACTATATAGGGCAACTATTTTCACTCACAAACCTGGAAAACAAAAAAAAAACAATCCTTTACTAGATGTCATTAAATGCTACCACAAATACCAGGGGAGAAGCTAATCTACAGGGTGTTAGCACATTTTCATTCTTAGGTAGTGGGAATAGCATACGGTAATTGTAGTCAAAGTTTCATTAAGAAACAAAACACTAAGCACCTACTACTAAATCTTATACACAACAAATTCCAAAATGGTCTACCGGCAATCTTCCTTCACTATTAAAACCTCTTAATCAAACCGGCATCCGGTTTCTATTCAAATTTCCAACAGAAGCTTACAAATCTTCAATACCAACTTGGAACATTTTGAATAAACAATCCACCAATGTCAGAACCATAACCAAAAGAACAGTTTCTTCAAATTTTACAAATAACCCATTAAAACATTATCCATTTCCTTATCATCTCTCCAATTCATAGAAAGCCCAGTTTGACATCTTAATCAAGGAATCCAATTTCACAGAGTAAAGGAAAATCACATCAATTTGCACGAACCACTAGAACAAAGAGCTAGTCAAATTTTAAGCAAGACCCATTTCAGTGTTACAAGCAAAAATAACGGAAATACAGAAATAACAAGTTTGAACTTCCAATCCTGACAATGTGAGTATTATTTTTATTTTAGCAGAACTTTTTCACAATGAGTTGAAATTGAAAGCAACAAAATAAAAGAAATTTGATATAAGAATTGAAGGAGAAACCGAAATCGTACCGGGACAGGGTAAAGAGTAGGGGGTAAGAGTCGTTGGCCCAGAAAGGAGTTAGAGGAGAGAGAAAGAGAGGTCATGGAGCTCTGAAGTGCAGCCATGGCTGCCATTTTCGTTGCTTGCGTGTACTAGGCTGTGATTGAGAAATGGATAATACAGAGCAGAGCTTAAAAGAGTGTAAACTTGTTGCAATATAGGATTGGAACGAAAACGACGAAGTAGCTGTTTCTTACTCACAGATGGGTTTGGAGGGAGCAAGGGACTATATGTAATTCGGGCCTTATTAGATTTTAGTGAAGAGACGAAGTAAAGCCCAACTCAACTTTTGGGTAAGGGTGATTTTATGGACACCCAAGAATTGTTGGACAACCAGAACTTATCTGTGGTATTCGTGTTGAATTTTTTTTTTTTAATACAAGCGATTGTCTAAATTACTCTAAATTAATCTAATATGTGGAGAAGGGGACTGGAACTTGAATACAAGGGGGCGATTAACTGGCCTATGGTGATGTTCCCAATTTTTATTTATTTTTTGGGTGGAAAAGGTTTGCCTTTTGGTTCAAATTACATAGGACAAGTGCAACAGTCAGAAGGATATGCTTCCATTTGTGTTTAGAGACGACCCATCGTATCTTGATCAAGAAAACAACAATAAATTATGGAGGAGTGTTAGCTTCAGTTACGCGTGGGCGTGTGTCGCATTAGAGATGAGTCAATAATTGTGTGGGGAACACAGAAATCAAAGGCTCGGAATGCATTACGCGTCTACTCGCAACTGATGCTAACACTTTCCCTAGATTCTGAATGTCAAGACCGCATTATCTGCATTAACAAGAAGCTGCAAGTTTTGGAGAAAGATCAACATTCTAATTTGCCATTCAACCAACACAAATACACAAACTTATATTACTCTGTTGCATGTGCATCAGTCAAGGGGCATGCCGAGGTATTGAACCAATACAAACAACAAAATGATATGAATACATCTAGAGTGTCTAAACTACAACATTGTTCAGGCAAGAATTGGCTCCTTATGCAGAAGTGGCAGCTACTTCAGTTTTCCTTTTTTCTTCTTTCAGTTTCTTCCAGTTCTCTGCATTATCTACTATTTCACCAGTTTTGATGAGGTAGCGAACTCGTTGTCCATTTTCCAGAATCTTATGACCCACTCGACTTGCTACATCCTTTTCTTTTGAGTAAAGCATCACATTCGAGCTGTGGATCGCTCCTTCTACCTGGAATATGAAATTTAAAATGTTTCTTTGTAATTAAATGAAACTAGTAAAGGAGAAAACATAAGAACCAATATGTTGATGAGTACACATTTTAAGAAAGAAAAAGAACCTTAATAATCTGTCCTGGTTCACCCTACATAGGAAAGCCAACATGTTGAATAAGTACAAACGTTTTGTAGGATATTAAAATAATAAATTATATAACACTGCAAATAAGGGGAAGTAAGTTCCTTCATTTCCATTGCTTGAGAACGGTATACAAATTAGAAACCTGTCATTTGAGCAAAACAGGGAGGAAGAAAGAGAAAAAGATATGTTACAGAGTAAAAATGCTGAACTGAAATCCTGTGTCACTCGAGCAGAAATCAGAACTACTTGAAATCTGCTAGTTCTAGCCCATCAATGACTGCACATGTATCAAAAGAGCAAAGCCAAAAAACCAAGAAATTTGAAAAAAAAAATGAACAAAAGGGAAAACTATCGTCTATACTTCATAGGTATCAGCTATGCTGTCCGCGGACTCCTCCCTTCGATGTTCAGCCATTTGGATTTTGGTTTCCGGTTGGTTCACGTCGATTGCGACTTCATCTGTTACGGATGACATGGATTTCATGTGCTTCCTGTTGTGCCTCATTTTGAGCATCCGTGATAGCACTTGTACAATGTCTCTCATGGAAGGCCGTTTCTTTGGGGCACGGTTGACACATTTATATGCAAGAGCTGCCACTTCGTTGAGCTCTTGCATATGGAAGTTCCCATTAAGATGGGAATCCACAATTTCTTCCCACCCAACTTTCCCCTCCGTATTCATCGCGGCCTATTTTTCACATAGAAAGTTAATTAGATGAGCAAATAAATAACATTAATTGGATTTTAAGTGGATGTGTACTTCTGCAACAAAAGTCCACGACAGTCTTCCCCTTAGTTTGTTCTTCTAAAACTATACAATTGCAGCTATTTTCTTCATATATATAGACAACCTAGCCAAGTAAAAGTGCGAGCATAAAAAGATACACACATGCACGAAAATACAGCTATGTATCACTATAGCAGACAGACACAAAAATGAAATAGTATCAAAGAACATTATGCAAGTGTAATAGATAAAAAGCTGCCAAAACAATGTCTAATGATCTCTTTATGTTCCTGGGTTATCAATATTGTCACATGGTCAAATCAACCTTAAAATTCCCTTCCCTGTTTCATCTATCCCCTGTGTGTGACCGTGTGCGGTGAGGAGGGGGGGTAGGGGAGAGAGAGAGAGATCTTACAAGCTCAACATATTCCATGAGACCTTGTTGAGGATTTCTTCCAGCTATGAGTTCAAAGAGCAAAACTCCAAAGCTGTAAACGTCACTTTTCTTGGTGAAATTCCTTGTAGATATATACTCAGGATCAAGATAACCAAACGTGCCCCTAATATTAGCTGCATGTTTGTCCACCATTTCTTCTCTTGAAAGTCCAAAATCAGCTACCTGCTTGATCCAGAATAACCCTCTATAATATCATAATTGGCAGCCTAACCTTTTATAAGTTTTATTACTTTAAGTTCATAAATATATGCATATATTAAACAAGTATGTAAAATCCAAAATGCAAAAATTTCTTCCATATTTGGAAAGTAAATCAAATACGCCCTTTACACAGTGTGATATCTTTATGAATCTGCTTGTGGAAAAATGATTCTACAAAATTAAAACACATACCCTGGCTCTCATGGACTGATCCAACAGAATATTGGAAGATTTAATATCGCGGTGTATTACAGGAGGAACTGCCTGGAGTGGAAAATTAAAGTTCAATAAATAAACACCTTGAGCATAAACAGAAACAACAAATCAACAAATAAACACCTTTGAGCATAAACACATGCACAGGCACAAAAGCAATTCATTATGTTTTAGTACAGTAAGATTGACATACTCCATCATGAAGATACTCCAAGCCTCTTGCTACATCTAAAGCTATAAGAACCCTCAAATCCCAGCTCAACGGCTCATGCTTTTCACCTGCACAAAGAAAAGCATGTTATTCTCAATTAAACATCTTGCATATCAAATCTGCATTTTCTTTCAAATTTCAATCTTGTTCTTCTTTCTATTCCTATGTAAACTGAATGCACTAAGACATAGTTAACATCATCCTTTCCAACAATAATTGCAAAGTTAACAATTCACAGCAGTCATTACATGAACAGAAGTGGAATAAGAATATTTCAGAACAGTGACCATTAAAACAAACATAAAAACTTGAGTGATAACCCTAAGAAATTCCATTAAAAGAAACATATTTGAAGTTCTATAGTCATCTTACTGTATAAATGAGAGGCCAAGCTGCCTTTACTCATGTAGACATATATAAGCATATGTTGCCCTTTTTCTGCACAATATCCAATTAGGTTCACGAGGTTTCTGTGATGCAACCTTCCCAATAGCTTAACCTGAGGGGAAAAGATTAAGAAGAAGAAGGTGAGGGACTATAATTGATGAAACAATCCAGAATAGCTTGTATACTTAAAAATGAAATTCATTACATGACATTAATCAAAACATCCTGATGCCATTTAAGAAAGCAAAATACGAATATTTTTCTAAAAGACAGAAGCGAATTGGTTAAGAGTATAAACAATTACTTTGTAGGGACCCTAAAAACAGTAAAATATTAAATGAACATTACCTCAGTCTGGAACTCTTTCTCCCCTTGTTTAGAATCAGTTGCAAGAACTTTAACTGCAACAGTCTCACCAGTTGACATCTGAGCTTTGTACACAGGACCAAACGCACCTTGCCCTATCAATGTTGTAAAGTTATAGGTTGCTTTTTGCAGATCCCTGTATGAATCCAATTAACAAATTAAACTAATATGCCAAATGCGAAAGGGGGTCAAGAACTTAGGTGTGCAAAAATAAACCACCTCTCCTTTAAGAAGAATAAAATATAAAAATTCATTGTAAATTTCAATAGAAAAACTACTAGGCGGTTAAGACTTCAGATTCAGAAGCAAGAAATATACAGTCACTTCATGACGAAACATCTAGTCTTTTTGCAGTTACAAATGTATGGCACTAGGCATCTCACATAACAGTTGAAGCAAAGTATAGTTAATGTCTACACATTTCTTGCTAGTTTGATTGAGTCTACGTGTTTTAGGTAAATGTACACTATCAGGGAACACATTCCTCTGAAATTCAAGGACTCTGTTATAACAATCATAACAAAGTAATGTGGGGTAAACTCTAACAAGCATTCAAGCTATCTACTGTATTCACAAAGATTGATCCTCTGGTGAATGTTTACGACAAGTACCCCAGTTGGTTTCTATCACGTATACAGGCTCAGAATTCAGCCATTACCAATTAGTCAACTCATTATCACTAAGATTCTAAAGATAGAATGCTAAATAATTCCAATAAACATTATTCATATCTTTCCATATGGGACAAGCAAGGATATGATAGAAAGCATATCATCTAAATCAAGAACTAAGGTGCAAGAGAGGAATAGTTTTTCTGGAGACATTACTTGTAAGAATACTCAGGTATTCCAGACATTGAGACCACATTACTCTTCTTAAATCCTTCAAGCCAGAAGGAGGAACCATTGCGTCCGGATTTTACAGGTGAATCTGGACCAACAGTCGAGTCTGACAATATAGTACAAGAGTCAGCACCATTAGCACGGATAGGAATAGTGGCTGTCCTCCGAGAACTGCTGTTCCCTATCTGCAAGCGCCTCCTATGGTACCTAATGCAGAAGAATCCAGAAATTGCCAAAAGCACTCCAATCACTACCCCTATAGATACCCCGATTATCAGCCCAGCCGGCTCACCTTTCATCTCCTCAAATGTACTTTAGTGCCTATTCAATGATCAAAGCCATTGAAGAACCTGCAAAATGACCAATGGACTTGAAAGTTGTGAGGGCAATTTTGAACAATTTGTTTGATATGCACAGCCATCAAAGAAGTCAAAATAAAATAACAAACTCCAAATTATGTATACAAAAAAATCTAGTATTCAAGGAGAAAAACTGTATCTTAAATAATGCAATTTTAACTCCCAGTTCCAAGTTTGAACATGAAATCAACGTTGGACAAGTATAACCTCGTCAATTCACTTTTAGCTTCAAACTAGTTCAAACTCAACTCTGTTTACATTAAAAGCCTTGTAACAGTACTAAGACAGAAAAACAGTTACACGATTAGTATTTTCTCTTTTCTGGGGGCCGAGGGGGAGGGGAGTAAAAACCCAAACAGTTTTTTTTTCAAAATAAAAGCTTAATTAATGTGGGAAAAGCAAAAATCAACAGCACTAAGTAAGATATCAAATGTATAGTGACAGAAAATTACTTGATCTGCTTCCCATTTAACCAAATCAAACTGAACAGAGATCTCCCATACCAAATCAAATTCATGGATATAATCGAAAATCTAAGAAATGGGTCAACCACAAATCCAACAATGCTCTGTTTGGTTGCTCATAAAACCAGGAAAAGAAAGTACAGCATAATCATAAAAAGAAATTAAAATAAACACCCATGTAGCCTAATGCAAGTTATATTGGACCTACTTAAAGTCAGTTTCACTTTTCTTTCCTTTCATTCAACTCGACTTTTCTTTTCTCGGCAACCAAACAGAGATTCAAGAAAAACCCACCAACAGATCATGGCCAGGAAAACAGAAACAACAGAAATTGAACAGCAAAAAGAAGCAAAATCAAAACAAAAAGAATAAATCAAACCAAAACATTGACGTGCAGCTTTAGTGTTTTTACTAACACGCTTTGGATATTACCTGTATATGCTGAGAAACAGTTACGTGATTTGCTGGAGTAAGGAAAAGAACAAGTGAAAGTGTCGAGACTTGAGAGAGAGAGAGATTCCAAGGATGAAAAAAGCGAATATGATTATGATGCAGGAAATGAAAATATTTGAAGGGAAACAGAGAAAATCAAAAAGAAAGTTGGTGTGAGAAAGTAATGAAGGAAATGCAGAAAGAAAGCGGAACAGTGAATGATTAATGGTATATGTATAAATATAATGGTGATGGCTGAATATATGTATAAATATAACCGTGAGTCGCCGCTGACATAATGAAATGAAACGCGCCGCCCATTTTTTTTTTTGGTAAAAAAAGGGCGCCTCCCT